CGAATTAATTCATTAAGCTGTGAGAAGCCAGAACATTTGTAAGATTAATCTAGTTCTGCCATTGTACATCATTGCACCTGGAACAGACTTTGGAACTACTATTTTCCATATAGCGTTAAGTATTCACCAAAGCAGAAAAAAACAACCTTCCAAACCCTATCAGTTTGGGGGGAAAAAAATAGATAATAATCTTTTCGATGCCTATGTGGGATAATGACACTAGATTAAGCACGTTGCTATTTTCTGTATCAAACAGCAATGATTAAAAACACAAAGATTGTGGTCCAATTTCACAACCTTTGAAAGGCTTCAGAATCCTGTTCAACTGTCTGTAAGGTCTCCAGCCAAATAGAGCTCAAATACAGTGACTATTTTAGCATTACAATGATAACTCATTTTAAAAGCAGAAACACCTGCTTGCATTTTTTTTTAACATCCACTGCACCACTATCAAATATAATATTAACTGCCTATACACTGTACAACAGGATCAATTACATATACATAAATATATATATATATTTATAAAGGGAGAATAATGAAATTTAAAAAGCAAACAAAAATATTAAGGCAATAATGACAGATGCCAACACATGCTTTCCAGGCTTGTCCAAGGGACATCATCTAGAACCACGTAACAAGACAGACCGTTATTAGCAGCAATATGGAACTGAATCATGCTAACACTGCTGAAGAACACGTCCACAATTACAAAAACAACTTTTTTTTTCCCCACACACATACAAAAAATGTATTTACAATCGCTTTAATCACTGCCACTTAGAAAAAAAAAATACATGGAATCTGCTGTTGAACCTAGCATCTCTACAAAGCACAAAGGAAATTACTTTTTCTTGCCCAGATGGGCAAAACTTCACACAGAAAAGTTTAGAAGGGGCAAGCTTCCGTTTTCTTTCATTCTCTTAAATGGAATAAGGGGTGGTACATCAACTTGGATTACTATGTCACACACGACAAGTCATTGTTTAGAATGAAAGTAAGCTAGATGAGAAATATTTTTAAGTGAAGATGTTGGCAAAACAAAACAAAAAAAACCCACCCACATCCATCCACACTATTTCAGCTCTGCTGCTAGAAAACTAGAAACCACTAGCTACAGTTTCACAGAACCACACACACATTTCCCTGCATAATCCATCACCACATGTCCAGTAACACAGCTAGGTTAAAAATATCATAGGGAAATTTAGTAGGCATAGTCTTCTTCCTCATAAGTTTTACATTTACCTATAGAAACAGTAATAGGAATTATAATTAAAACTCAAGCCACTCAAGGATACCATGAACTTTAAAGCCAGGTTTCATTACCGAAGGACAAACATATATCCTTCATTACTGAAAAACATAAAACAAGAAAGGTACTCTTGAGCTCTTAAAAATTCTCACGTCTCATCTCCTGTGTACTAGTGCCATACAGCGTAAGCCCTACCCAAAGCAACATCTAGACACCATACGCACGTCGGGACATGGCAATGAAAAAAAGTTATCACTTCCTGAATCAAAACTAATGTGTGAAAACATCACAAAGATGTTGTTCCATTAATACAGGCAGAGCCTTTGAACATAACCTACTTTCATTGAAGGTTACTCTTATTTTAGGAGACTGAAATTCCTATCTAGAATTAACCTACCACCAAGATCCAGACAGCTCTGAAAAAAATCTTCAAAAGCTCTTACACACGTTGAAACTGTAGAACATATCAACCTTGATGGAAAAACTTTTCTTGTAGAAAGCCCATATAAGAGGCAGGAATAAAAAGTGAAATAAATAAATACATTAAAGCTTTGAAGGTTTTCAGAATACATTCTGCTGTAATAACAAACTGCAAGAGAAAATCTTCATGAAATCCATAAATCTTGAAAGTTGAAAATAATGTAAATCTTCCTTCACAGGCTAAAGGCAAACATGAAGGCTATACTGGAAAATTTATCAGACTAAGGAAATGCATTTCAATTTATAATAACATATGCACAAATGCTCCAAGCTGACTGCAGACTTTGCAGAATCAGCGTAACAAAAATGGTTAATGAAGACAAGCGAGTGGGATCTTTGAGCTGGCGCTGCCTGCCAAAAATAGAAACTGCTAAGCAATCACATTTCATAAGGTCTAATGGCCAGAAAAAAATAGGTAGACGCTGTTCTTCCCTCTCCACCACTTGCCATGGCCTCGCTAGCCCCTAACGCCTCCTACGCGGCTTCTCCTTCCCTCCCTTCCCCCACAGCGCAGCACAAGCGGGAGCGACGCGGCTGCCAAGGCGGCTCCGCCATGTGGCGGACATCAGGAAAACAGCGGCCCCCGCAGAGCGGCGAGCGAGGAAAATGGCGCCCGGGAGCCGCCGCCGCCTGCAGGGAGAGCGATACGGCGGGAAGGAAAGAACTTCTCGAAGAACCGATCCCACATTACAAAATAAAATAAAAATAATTAAAAAATCAAGTAAACAACATGCGGGTCCTGAAGATAAACGGGTATCGGCCGCTGCAAACGGCTTCCAGCGTCCACTTACACGCGTTAGCGAGCAAAGCTTGCGAGCGATGCTTCCCTTTCCCTTGCGGGCCCATCAGCCTCTAGTGCCATCCCGGCCGCCCCCCTCCCCGTCCTAGCTCTGATCCCCAGAGCCTCGCGCACGAGCGAGTCTCGGAGCCGCCATTTTACCCCTCCCCCTCCCTACCGCCATT